GAAGCAGCCCCATCGTCGCCCTCACTCACCGGCCGGCACAGGTCATGGTAATGGATGAATGCGCGTTCTATACGTTTTTTACGAACAAATGCAACGATCTCACCCTCAGCATCCTCGCCCTCAACTTCATCATGACTCGGCGTGGCGCTCCGCGCGGATTTCTTGGATCCGCGCTGGGGCCCCTTGGCGGCGCCGCCCCTGGCGCGCTCTGCGCGACAGGGAGTGGGGTCTGGCGCAGATCCAAGAACTCCGCGCGGAGCGCCAAAAGCAAATCTGCATGTCGTTTGTTTTTCTTCTTCATCACCCTCATCAAGTGCTCATCCTCTTCGGCAAGGTTGTCCGCGGCTTGGTCGGTTCGGCTGCGTCGTTGTCGGTTGTATTCGGTCGGTTCGATTCGCTCGGTTGCCGTAACGTTGCCGCGTCGTTGCGCCTTTCCGGGCTGTATGCGGCCTGTCGGTTTCGGTCGTTGTCGGTTTCGTTGCCGATTCGGTCGGTGGACGGCATTTGTCGTTGCCTTCATCTTCATTCTCATATTCGCCATCATCCTCGGCTTCGTTCCCGTAATCGTCATCGTATGCATGCTCACGCACCCAGCGAGGTGTGAGGAGGGTATGGCAGCGGCAGCTTCGAGCAAGTATCGGGCGGTTTCCGCTCTCCTTGCCCCCCAGACTTAGTCGGGCGACTTAGTCGGGCATATCCTTCTAGAGGAGGAACACTTAAGAATAGTCAAATAATAGTCTGGGGACTATTGTTTTACTATTTTTGACCATGTGTTGAATTTTTTGTTGGCAATTTTGTAGCGTTCGCCCAAAATCCTCCCGTAGGGGGACAGGTCCGATCTAACCCCAGAGCCCTGCGGAAGTTTCTTTTTTGGGGGTCTTTGGGAACCTCCTGAGGTCTCCGGGATCTCCCAGAGCCCCCGCTAGGTTTTTGGAGGTTGCGGTCCCGTGGTGCCTCCTGGGGGGGGAGGTCTTCCCTTGAGGGAAAGCATGCAGGTCTTACCGTTAGAATGCAGTCAAGACGCTGAAATCAGGAACAGTTTGGGTTCGGAAGGGGCTCGATGTTCCTTAGGTTCTTCCAGTGTTGTTCTTCTTGCCCTCCTGGGGCACGGAGGCGCTTTCAGGGCCAAGATGAGGCTTCGTTCCTTATTTAGCGTTCCTTCTTTCAGCGGCCCGACTGTATTGGTTCAGCCGCTAGCACAGCGGCTAGAACTGCGCATTCCAGCGCGCCAGCCAGGTGGGGGGGATTTCGCTTCGCGCGCGCCGGCTGGACTTTGCAAGGCCGGCGCCAGCAGAAGATCCAGAAGCGCACCCAGTGGAAGGACGGCTTCGCCCTTTGCCTTGTTGCTGCCGCTAGTTTTAAATCAGGCTTGTCTCTCTACAGGAGGAATATTCAACAGTTGTTAAACAATAGTCTGGGGACGATTTTGGGATTATTTGTTCTTGCAATTTTTGAAAATCGTTTGACTATATTTAGTTTTTCATCCCAAATCCGCCTGTACGGGGACATGCCCGACCTAATGCTAGTTTCCGCCACTTCGTCCAACCCTCCCCTTGCACGTGCACCGATCCCCCGCCGCAGCGCGCGGGGGGGAGAAGGGAGGGGTGCAAGGAGAGGGGGAGGGGGGATCGCAACCGGGGTGCGGGAGGTGTACCAGATGGTTGAGACTGGAAAGCGTTTAGCCGAGAGCAGGGGTTCTCGAAGTGAGAACGGGAGCATGATGGCGGGGAAGGGACAGTATGAGGATGAGGAGGGGAGGGAACATCATGAAGAGGTGCGTTGGGACGTCAGAGGGATGTGAGATGTCCATGACGCTGGTCAACGATGACGCCAGTCAACATGCCCAGGCACCTTGGACAAGGCTACTCGGTGCTGGAATCAATTGTGAGCGGCTTTTTTCTGCGTGCGCAGCGTGCTAAGTTTATTAGGCAAGTCCCACAGGCGCACATGACATGGGACTGGACATTTGAGGAGAGGTTCAATGCACTGGAGGCGTTGTGCTCATGCGTGCTGGCTTGTCTTGTGATGCGGAGTGCGTGCGGTGAAATCTATCAAGCTGTCAGCAAACTTGAGCGAATGCAGGCTTGGAGCAGCTTGTGGGCGCTGCTGAAGGATGTGCGTCTTTGCGTGCCGGTTCGAAGGTTCTTGGGGGCTTCTTTGCCCCCGTTGAATGCGGCAGTGCCCGCGTCTAGAGAGGAATCGCATAACGGAGGGATGGGATGACAGGATGGAGGGAGTTGTTGCAACCCAGAACGTTTATTTCCGATCTCGTGTCGTCACGTTTCTGTGGAGGCCCTCCCTGGTTTTGGGCGAAGCAGTCCAGGATCTGACCCTCTGTTGTCACTTCGCGCGCCGCCATTGCATACGTGGCCTAGGCCCTTGGGAAAAGAAAGAGGGAGAGGATGAATGTCAAACTCATTGCACGGTGACCAATATATCGAGCAGGTGCACCACATTGTCGTCGATCTCACAGCGCATCCAGAGCCGCACTGCGTCGCCCAACTGTGGCCCAACAGTTTTGTAAAGTCACTGCGAGTTGGCGGTTCTGATACATGCTGAGGCACGATGCAAGTAGTGCGGACACGTGCAAAAATGCGTGGATGGATCTTTGCTTGGTAGCGTATGATGTGTCAGGATATCGCTCACGCTGGTTTTGCCCCGTCGTATAATCGCCCAACAGGTTGTGAGGTGTTGATGCCACTGTGTGTCGTGGTCATTGGCGGTCGGATCATCATTTCCTGTTATTGTTGGGTGGTCTGGACATTGACGTTCGACCGCTTCAGCTTCCTGCCGGCAGCAGCGCAGGGAATGGCGTGTCCATTTGTCAGCACTCTCATGTTCACGAGCATGGCTTCTGAGACTTCTGCTGCATCTGTCTCCTGCTATGCTGCTCACTCCAGCACAACTTCAACAGCCTGAATGGTGAGCACGTGATGGGCTTCTGCAGTAGCGATTGCGTTCACTGCAAGGAGGCATTCGGGGTGTGGGCGGGGATGGGACAGAGGTGAGACACGAACGGAACGGAATGTTGCGATGGTGTCCAGGCAATTAGAGCGGATGGGATCCAGGGATTTTCCCCCTACCCCGACCAATCAGGCCATAGGCTAACTCTGCCACAAGACAGTCCGAGGTGCCCGCGAAGCCTCCCAAGGATGACCCCGAGAGGCCAAGCTCGTCCAAGTGCCGCATGCCTGTCCACAGCCTTTTCAATGCTGTCAGGGGTTGGGGGGTGAGATCGCAGTGGAACGGAGAGCCCCCCACCGGGAAATCTGTTTCGGTTTCGTGTTCGTGTCGTGCGTGCGGGCGAGGCGAAGCTGCGTGGGCGCGCGAGAGGAATTATGCCGCCGTGGCTGGAGGCTGTGGAGCCGGTTGTACGGCCCTCCTTCCCCGGCGCGCGGTGGCCAGGGGTGTCCCGTCGGTGGTGCGGCGGTGTCCCGTCGGTGCCGCGGGGTGTCCCGTCGGTGGCGCGTTGGTGTCCCGTCGGTGGTGCGGCGGTGAGATCTGCGGTGAGAGCGATAGTGAGATCTGTAGTGAGATCTGTTGTGAGATCTGTTGTGAGATCGATCGTGGGATCTGTTGTGAGGTCTATAGTGGGATCGGCGCAGAGAGATCGATACTGAGATCGATCGTGACATCGATTGTGAGATCGATTGTGAGACCAGTAGTGCGATCGATGGTGAGATCGATTGTGAGATCGATAGTGAGACCGATAGTGAGACATGTGGTGAGATCGATGGTTAGCCCGAATGTGAGATCGATAGTGACTTCGATCGTCTGATCGATGGTCAGATCGATTGGGAGATCGATCGGGAGATCTTGCTTGAGATCGATCGTAAGATCGCTTGTGAGAAGATCGATCGTGAATTCGATTGTCATATCGATCGTGAAATCGATAGTGAGATCTGATGTCAGATATGTTGTGAGATCTGTTGTGAGACCGATCGTGAGAGCTGCTGTGCGATCTGTTTTGAGATCGATAGTGAGATCTGTCGTGATATTAAGAGTTTGATCGATGTGACGATTGAACAAGACGTTTGTCCCCCTCCCCCCTCCGAACCTCCATTTCACCCGAAGGGTGGTCGTAGAGGTAGAGTATAGTCCTCATTGACACTGCAGGTCAAGCGCGGTGGATGTTGGCTGTCTAGCCACTCTGGGTCCGTCGCATCCAGCCTGGGCCTCAGCCCAGCATGGACCAGAGTGTCTCTGGGTGCCAGCCTGCCCCGGGAGCGCCATCCTGCTTGGGGAGGGCGGCGGCATCCGCGTGCCTCAGTGCTGCAGGAGCAGCCAGCAAGCCTGGTGGTGGCGCGAGCCCCTCTCCCCTGACGGGGGGGGGGGGCGTGTGGAGCGCGTGGCCGCCCTGCCGGACAGATACACCGCACTCATTTCTATACCCCTGGGTTGGTGTACGTGCGGCCGCGTTTTGCACTGGCATTTGCGCGGCATGTGCCCAGCATGCATGCGCCCGGCATGTGCGGGCCTTCTGGGTCGCACGTCCGACTTTGCATGCGCGCCCATGCGTGTGCAGAGTCATGTGCGTCGTGCTTAGTTTGGGGCTTCGGGCGTGTGGAGCGCATGTAACGCCCCCCCTCGATTTCATCCCTCGCCTCTCGGGCCTCACTCCCTCTTTTTCGCGCACGCGCCTCCAGAACCGCTCCTTGCCGCTTCCGATCGGCTTCCGAGTCAAGATGGCCTCACTGTTGGCCCGCAGGAGCGGCCGAGACGAGCCCCGAGGGATGCCGAAGTCTCCCGAGAGCATCCCCCGAGAGGGTCCCAAGAGGCCTTCAAGAAGAGATGTCTCAGTATCTGGAGGGGCAGCATTAAGTGATCGGTGGCGAGCGAGGGAGGGAAGTGAGAAGGAGAAGGCCTTCTCAGAAGGCGGCGGGACTAATCAGAAGCCCTCGCGCCCTCTCAGAAGTTTTCTGTGTCTTTGGGTAAGGGTTCGAATGCTTCTCGGAAGACCCGGGAACTTCCGAACCTTCTGAGAAGGCCCGACCCTTCTC